GGTTACTGCTTCCTCAGATAAAAGCTACTTCAACACGTGCTCTCCTTCCTTAAAAATACACTGAATGGAGTTACTTCTAAGTGTCAGATTTGTACTTCTCACTGCCCTTTTGAGACATTTGGAAAAGACATAGCTGAGAAAGAGGAAATTAACAGGTCAGGAAATAATCTACAATAAATCAAAATGCAGTCAATGTAGTAACTTTTTTGTTGCTGATGTCGTTAGATTGGGTGTAGTAAAGCAGAATTCATCAAACTTTCCGAACACAATGCAGTCCTCCAAATCAGAAAGTAACATTCAGTTTGGTTTATTTGCATGAAATTAATATCTTTAGCTGTCTTCTCCCACCCCTCCTCTCCTGAAATGATGGATATTTGAAGCTGAGATCCAGATATCTCAATTAACTTTAATAATACCTCTTCAGTTCCAGAAGAAAGGAAATGGTTTGCAATATCCTGCTTTAGACCCATTGATTATTTATTTTCTTTGTGACTTCTGTCTCTGCAGATCAGCTCTAACCCAAAAGCTACGAGATCTGGTATAAGAGTGGTGCTGTACCCATGCTCACAGGACCTGCTGAAAGGAAGGGTATAACACCTCAGGCTTCAGTTAGACAATTTATTGCAAAGACAGTCTGAGCTCTCATTTGCCTCACTCAACCAGATATGTTTGTGCAATATTTCAGATACTTTTTCAGGTTTAGAAAGCTTAGGTCAGTCCAGCAGGAAACAGAAACAACATCATGGGCAGAGATGATCAGTAGTACGTAAACAATGAGCATTGCATTACAAATAATCCTCACAATTAATGGGTAATGTAGATTTTTGTTTGTTTGTTCAGTGAAAAAGCATGTTATGGACATATAAGCACTTTCAAGAAAGTGAGTTAAGACTGAGAAATATCATTGACGCTACTCTATCAATCAACATTACAGGAACATTCACATACAAGGCCAGCCCCATGCATTGCATAAATCGATACAGAACTGAGCTCATGTTGAGTCATATCATCAATAACCGTGCCATACTATTCTCAATTTTGCCACCCCCACCTAAACACAGACCAACAGTAGCTGAGAGAAGCAGTATGAACCACTGCTAAAAATTCTACTGCCAAACCGAGGGAGACTTAATGTGATTTCCACGTTGTTGCTGGAATTCATTCCCTCTTTGGATACTGCCAAACCAACCCAACCAGATATGACTCATCTTCAGGGCCTCAAAAAGTGCTTCTGAAAGGCTTGGGTTTTGCCTTTGGAATGCACTGGATTACACCAGCGTTTGTGACGCTCCAGTGTGGGGGAAGAGGACATCCCTGACTCTTCCCTACAAGGACATTCTCAGTCTGTGTTCTGCAGTATTAATTGCATGCTCAATTTATTCTTCACTACCTAAGGAAAGCATTGAGTGTTCATTCCTTTGGCAAATGATATCACCCTTCCGCTTCGATTTTGCTTCTGAGACAACATTTTTTTTGCTTGCATAGGAAAACAAATGAACAAATTGCCCGATCCCTCGCTCTCCCTTGTTTTCCTACTTCTAACGTTGTGGTAAAGAGATGTATGATGAGCTATAGAGGAAAAAATCTGTGGGAGTCCCAGATAAAATACTGTCAGCACATCACTGAGTACAGTAGAAATATAAAAACCCAACAAAAGGCAAAAATAAAACAAGCAGAAGAAAAGAAGTATTCCATAGGAGGAGAGAGTTGAAGTCAGTAGGACTATTTTGTTTAGAAAGGATTTGATAGATCACATGGCAGTTCACATGAATTAATGAGTAAACAAGTCCACTTGTCTGCTAGTCATTTTTTCCTTAATGAATATTAACTAAAATTGAACCCACTATTTGCAGCACAACATATTGTAGTGCTATGACATTTGGTACCACCTTTACTGTATTAATGAGTCAACAACCTACCATAACTTTAAATTGGGCAAGAATTTCACAACAGTAAGATCATTAGTGAAAACAGCTGAGATAAACAATTACAGAATACATCACCCCTCACATTTGAGGACTGAAATAAAATGCTTTGCTGATTGGAGTTAGGAAAAAAATATAATTGTTGGTAGATTTTTGCATCATTGTCTGCCATGGCTGGTAGACAGCTTTAACTGAAGCCCCTGGATTCTGGAAACTTAGCAAAGGTAGTGTGCAAGCTGATTGTTTTGATTATGACAATTTCAACGATCATACATAAGACTACAAAAAATCATAGAAAGAGGTAAAGAAAATTAAGAAATTCCTTCGTAATCATCTCACTTAAATCTGTATAATACATCAGGAAAGACAAAAACATTACAATTCCTAGCTTCAAGAATTTACCAAATGTGCACAAGAGGTATCTACCTGCTGAAGTTCAGCCAGCTCTTTAGCTGTCCAGACATGTTTCACATATCTACCTCTACTGATGTTACCAGAACTCCTGAGGTGTTGTTTCTTAGAAGTTCCTCAGAAATTGCTCATAAACCTATTTATCAATTTGGCTTCTTAGAAGTGACCTGCATGAGTTCCTCAACAGTCACACCTGAAATGAGTTTCTGCTAGCTAGTATCTTGCTCTGTGAGCCCAAAAATTGAAAGACATTGATGCTGACAATTGTCAGCATCATATAGTGTTTTTTAAGACCACGTTTTTGTAGAAAGTCTTTGGAAAGGAAAACAGATGTCTATTAGGAAAATACACTCAGAGTACTATGTTTGTCATTTTCTGGGCAACGTAGCTGTAATGATAAGGTGTGCGTTCATCTCTAGCTGCTGGGCTGACTGTTACAAGGTCATGCACTGTGGAAGAAAAACTGGGCCCATCTCACAGAAGACCTAGAGAAATGATTGAATCAGGACTGAATAAGGGAATGTTTCTCTTGCAAAATGGTAATATAAATGATATGAGGCTAGCTAATAATACAGTTGGTTTCCACTAACAGAATAACATGATGATGATATACAGAACTGAATTCCAGACTCTGAGCCAAGATAATTTTTTTGTCTTATTTTCCATCTGAGTCAGTTAGAACAAAACTTGTGTTCAAGAGACCAAGTCTCATAATGCTTTTTGCTTTCCCATTTAATCCCACATGGGTACCCCATCCGATCTGAGATGCAGAAGATATTCCACATGTCAGAAGCCCCATAACGGTAGTTCAAACATGGTTCCATAGTCCACAGTGGACTTACAATGCAAATTATCTGTGGACAGTTTGACCAAGAAAATAAATATTTTCCATGGGCAGAAGAGCTGAGTTCATTTAACTGAAAGATGAAATCCAGGATGCATGTGAAAGCACAGTGCCATATGTGTCTCTCAATTAATATGTTTTAAGGTTTCAATTCTAAAAAAGGGGACATCCAACTTAATAGGAGAATTAAGAAGCTCAGACAGGCCAAATCTCTGGCCACCACTTTGTCCTATTTGTGTTTTTCTAACAGAGAGTGTAGTCTGTCTCAGTGCTTTCAATTTAGTGAGTTACACATCCCCTGTTTAAGTGTACCTACTTTTAAAACTAGATAAAATTTTTAATAAATGGAGAACTTTTTTATGTCTGTAGACAATATCTCCCCTTTGTGTACTCAGAAGGGCTACCCTGAATCTTGTTATTATCTTGAAAAATCCATCTAGTTTAAGGATTATTCTTCCTGAAAATGCAATGGGCAATTTATTCTCTTAAATATTTTGTTTAAAGCATTAAGCTGCATGTATATCCTAGAAGAATTTGAACATGGGATCTGAGCTAAGATCTTAAACAGTCTGAAAGAAGACATCAGTCTGCCGAATATGATATCAGGAAAAATACAAGTTCTCATTTCAAAGGTAATACAGACACACACATACATATATATGTACATAAATCTGTACGGCATATTTGCTGTGCGGGCCTAGACTCCTTGTGAAGTTGTTTTTCAGTATAGCAAATTAGAAAAACATGCCCAGAATTAAAGGTTACTTAATCGGTTTGAAGCAGTAACTTCAATTCCAGCAACTCCCTCCCACTATGTTACATCTGATAATGTACCCAAGTCCAAACACAAACTTAGTTCAAAAAGATGTTTGGTCCTTGAATGTAAAATGACACTTAGCTTACACAATTAGCCAGGTAATACATATCCTTCCAAGAGAAGCAATTTTTACCACAGAATAATCTGCATTTTACTAATCTCTGATTGTTAAGTTTTACTTGCTGAAACTTTTCCATATGGCTTTTTGAATACCACTGTCCTGTATTTAATTACCACAGAAGGATATTAATGAAGAGGTTGGAAATTTGGCCCAAGCCTTGTTGCCACAATTTGGAGAGTTTGATGGAGACAGAGCCAATGAACAGAACATTTCTGTCAATACCAGGCAGTGCCATTTCACACACAAAAGCTGTGGCAAAAGAGGAGTAAACAGACCTACAGAAAGAAAACACCCAACTATTTTTGAATTGTCCATAAACTTATAAAATATCATGGTCATAAGGCAGCACTGAGTGAAGTGGAAAACTGGTTTGCTAACCTAGAGGACAGTCAAACAGGAATTGGTGGAGTAGTCCTTGTAATTGAGAACATTGTCATTAACCTGTAAGCAAGATGCATGCCCAGAATCATAAAGTGTACTTTCCAATTTTAAAGGCAAAACATGATATTGAGCGGAACCAAGGCAAGGGTAGGCAGCTTGGGGAGCAGAGGATGCGAGGAAGCTAACGTGGGAGGGAAAGCATATGTTGCTGCCTGGATGAGGAAGTGGTACACCACAGTTACTTCGTAAGTGCAAGGGCTTTATAAACTAAACCTCCTAGGGACTGTTTTGAATAGACAAAGAATGACACGCAGCCCTAACAGGCTTTACAGTATTGTTTGAGAAGGCTGGTTGCCTTCTAAAAACATTGGACTGCCGTTTGTACTTTTTCCAAAAATGGCTATTTTTAACCTCAACCTCTTCATATAAACAGTGGGCAGATGCACCATGTAGTAAACTCTGTTTTGTCTAGCATGAAATTAATGGCTTCCTCAGTCTTACCTGACAATGGAAAACATATTCCGGTGTGGTTTTCTTGAACTTCATGTTCCATACCAAGGCTACCCCATCAGGCTCATGTGGAGCATCTTCATTATTGTTATAAGATGCAACCATCAACTCGGGGTACTAGAAGGAAAAAGAAAAAGCAAATGAAGTAAGATGGATGATGAAGAACTCATACAAAATCAGATGAGACAGAAATAGTCTCACGCCAAATGTGCAATATCTGGTTTTAATTATAATACATGCAAGTCTAATCATAGTATTCAGCTTCATTTTGGTTTTATACTTTACTTGTCCCTGACATCCTTAAAGCCCTTGTCCCTTGCTCTCTATCAGTTATTCTCAGATACCACAAAGGCAATGCTATTTTCTGCAGGTAATTCTCAGAAAAGACAACTAGCAGGATATTCATAAAGTGAATGCAAAAGAAGGAAGAGGGGAAATCTGAAAGCTTGAGTAATTCTAATGTATTTGCTTAACCAATTCTTCAGGGACAAACTGTTGTCTTAATTTATTTTTATAATAAAAACACTATGACCATAGCGCTGTCTTGCTTTTATTCTGAAATTCACTGTTTTTTCAGCATCCCTGAAAACTATTCTTTCTTATTTCATTATGCACTCTTCCTATTAACTTATGCATAGACTCAACTTGAAAGCTATTCTTGATAATTCAAATAGAATGAAAACATTTTCTTCACAGAAACTCAATTTTGCAAGATGCTGAGGTCACGTGATAAAGCACAGGGTGACCTCGAATTCCACTGACTGAGATTGATGCAATGAGCACTCTAAAATCACATCTGTATTTTCTTGTACACCCATTATCCACGGATGTATAGAAGTAGATAATGCAACACACACATATGTATTTGCTCAGTTTATATATATACACACATATACACATACACACATAATATCACATATGAAAGATAAGTTTTTCACATTCTGTTCATGACCTTGTGTCATTTCAAAACACTATGAGAAGTGACAATTTGCCCACAAAACATCAATTACTTTCTGCCTATACAGTAGCACCCAGTTCTCCACTCTCACGTGTTTGACACTAGGCACCTCTGGTAGCCTCTGTCCTTCCCTCTAAATAGTCTAAGGCAGCAGACCTCATGGCATGTCCAGAGCCACGTGGCTTCTGCAGACCAACGAGCCAGCAGCCCAAGCTCTGCAGGACCCACACCCTCCTCTCATAAACTAGGAAGGCTTTCCCTGAGAATTTCTCGATCTGCAAATCACTGTCACTTTTTGTCTTTCCCAGGTAAATTCCTGCCAAACCATTCACTGCTTTATAAGGAAACAGTGCAGCTGGTAGATGTAAAGGAAGTGGGACAAAGAAACTGCCAATAGTACTACTGGGAGCTGTGAATTTGGTCCACACCAAGCATTTTAAAAATAAATAAAAAAACCCCACCACTCTTTCTCTCATTATTATTTGGGTTTGAACCTCTCTGGTCTCAAAATCCATTTGGAAGAAATAATGTGCACAGCTGTAACTTTTGCCATCAGCAGCTGTTCTTTCCCACTTTGTGTACACTTCCATGGATAATACATCATGGAGCTGATGATTTTTCTATTCAAGCTCATTGTTCCAAATGAGTCTGGACCCACGTGTGGGAGAACCAGCAATGACATGTGGTCACCATAGCTGCCTCTTTCCCATTTTAGGGCAGCTCTGACTGGGTTGTACATCCTGGCAGACCCTGGCTGCTGGCACAGCTTGTAAGGGCAATTTAGCACCCAAATCACTTGCATGGTATTTAGAGCATGCACCAGACCAATTACCTCTTCTCCCTCCTCAAGAACTGAGGGAGACCTGAGGGTGACTTAATGTCACCCCTGAGACACCACCTCTCTGAACACAGTTGTGCCAGCCTGCCTTCCACTGCTCTCATCCATCTCACTCCCTCTTCTCTCTCTCTCTGCTATGACAGAGGTTGCAACCACTTCTGAACAGCAAGCTCAGCTTCTCCTTTGAACCCTTTCATCCCATGTTGACCCAGGTCCAAGTAAACAGCATCCACAGTAGGCACTTGCCGAGGCACCTCATTTTGGCTCAGTGGGTTAGGTACCATTTGCATGAGCAGCTGAGCCTGCAGCCGTGAAGGGGCAGAGACCCTGACAGGCAGAAGCAACAAGCCCTTCCACCAGCATCACTGCAGCCAGCTAGGGTGTGTGACCATGTCTGAAGCACCAGTTTAGAGGCACTTTAGGGTTGGTTCACACTCCTGGTAAGTTTAGCAAGCATGTTCTGTTTGGCAGCACATTTGGCCATAAACAAACACAGACTCAAATCTTGCTGGTCTATATGTAGGTTTTGCAATTACAGTTTATGCATCTGACTGGAAAAACAGTTTCAAGCTTACACATACACTGGGTTCATACCTAGCTGGGCTACAGCATCATGAGGCTTTTTGACTCTTAAAAAAACAGAGCTAAGTGCAGCACCCTAAATCAACGCTTGCATTGCACACTTGCTGCTTCATTCACTCTGCTTGCATTTATGGAATTTCGGTCCTCACCAGGTGCCCAGCTGTGCTGTGACCGCAACTGAAAACAACACGGAAATGGTGCTGTGGGAAACAGCATTCAAGGATGCCACCTGAGAGTCAAGAGGGACACAGCGGTATCCCTGAGACTGTGGTTTTCTTGGCTTTAGATGAGCTAAGTTACCTCCTCATGGACAGAGCAAGGTGATCCCACTTAGATCCCACTTAGATCCCTTTCCCTTAGATCCTTGATGAAGCACCTAAGCCATTTTTTCTTTGCTCTGCAAAAGAATCAAGGGGCTAGTGGGTTAGCTTTAATGGTATGAATGATCCCACATGTTTGGGACCGTATTTTACATGTGACTGGGAACAGAATAACTTGATTAATCAATGCATCAAGGTCCTTTGTTTGATTAAGCTTCCATTTTCCTCCAGGCTGTTTTGCAGCTACAGTTTTATCGTCGAAAATTGAGCAATGTGTTCTGCAGTTCCCATGATTATTCAAGTTATCCTTTGGCATACTGGACACTGCCATGTCCTGGAGTGTGGGTCAGAAACGGAGCTAGCAGTTAGGGGAAATACCTCTGTCCAGCTCCAGCTCCTGCTGCATGATACACCTCAAAGCAGGCAAGAGAGAAGGCAAGTCCCTCCTCCCAGGCTAGCGTGGAGTGGCATGCAGAAGGCCCCTGTCACAGAGAAGCCATTGGGGCAGAGAAGCCCCTGCTGGGGTGCCAGGGAGCTGAGTGTGAGGAGTTAACAGAGAGGAAGGCAGGAGGGGCCACCCTGAAACAAAGAGGTGGGAAGCAGAACATGCCTGTGAGCCCCAGGGGCTGAGCAATTATGTTTGGCAGTGCTCTTCTGAGGCGGCTTTTTTTCTTGCTGCCCTGGGAATACAGTAAGAGCTGCCTGTTAGGAAAATATCAGATAAGAATTCCATGTAATTTCCAGTCCCTGAACAAGTGAACAACCTATGATGTGTTTCCTCAGGCTTATAGTTGATTTCTGTGGAAATCCATATGTGCTTAAAGGCCACCCACGTCACAGCAGCGCATACCTCTTGTTAAGCTGATATTTTGTATGAAAGCAAAGGGATAAATCCTTCATTTCACACACAAGGTGCAAGATGGATATTACAAGAAGCCTCTCTGCAGCTGGCTGGTGTACACCACACCTGGTTGCACAGCCAGCCCTGTGAAGCCTACCAACAATATTCGGTGAGACCCTCCAACACCTCTCCTCCCTGTTGTCTGCCACGTCCTCTGTGCAGTCAGCTGCCACCTTACCTGAGCAGTACCCAGAGGGACAGAAGCAGCCCTGTTGCCATTTCAAGGGGAAGGAGAGAAGGATGCATGTGAGTGTCCCTGTGCTCCTTATCCACTGCTTCTCCCCAGCCCGCATGCACCATTTATATACTTGGCCTTAAACACATGCTGTCTCCACATGCACACCCAACATGGTGCAGAAAGAGCAGCTACTTCTAAGATTAGGCTAAGCAAAGCTTGTTCTTACCACTGGGTTGAGCTACATCTATAGCATTTCTGCTACACACACCAGGCTGCATCAGGGCTCTGGACACACCAGGGCACACCTGCGATGGGCTTTGGGGCCAACTAGGCAGATTGATTTGTGTTCACCTTTTTCAAGCCTATATCCTGCTGGAGCAGTTCCATTATGTCTGCAGTGTGGACCTTGGAGCAGAGTCTTCCTGGTTTCCTCACCAGGGAAACCAGCTGCTTTGCTCCAGGCTGCAACATTAGGAACAGGCTAACAGGGATGAAGCAGAGAGGATGAGGGTGGCTGGAGTGAAACCAGGACTGAATGAATTTGACAGGACCTATGGTGATGTGTGTGTGTGCTAATCCCAGCTCTCCAACGGAGTAACTAATTAACCCAGTTTCTGTCCTTTGCCGATGTGGCTGTATTGGTTTTGGGAAGCTTAAGCAGCTCTGTTGTCAGTTTTATTTTGCAATATGACAATGCTTTGTGGTGCACAGAAACTGGATACGTTCTAGGCATGCTGCTCTAGCATGCCTCCTGGCCAGTGGCAACCTCCCCTTCCATTGCCTGAAGAGAGGACCCAGCATTTTTTGAAAGACCTCTTTTCAGTCTTTTCAAGTTGTTCAGATACTTTCACATTTCAAGTTTTAGCATATTATAAAAATAATTTTATTCCTCACTATTCTTATGTTTTATTTTATATACTATTATGTATAACTATTTATTAGATCAATCGCTATTTAGTAAATTCTTTTAATTGGTTTAATTTTAAACTTTTTGTCCTAAAAAAATTTCCAGTTGCTGAAGAAGTGGAGAGAGGAGGAAAAGTAAAGACTCCTTCACGTTAATAGGTTTGTTAACCTATAGTTTTAATACAATATTCTGGTTTTGAAGGCCAAGTAACATATACAAAAAAATGACAGCTTCATTATTGCCCCCTACTCTTCCTTACGGAGAAACATGCATTCGCTCACTCAAGGCCCTGCTGTTAACTAAGAAATAAAATCATAGTCTGCAGAATGAAGGGCAAACTGAGGCTGGCTATATTTTTTTAGGGAGAAGTTGGAAGGTATACAGAAACATATCTCCTAGCTTCACATCTTACCTGAAGAGACCAATCCATACAGGTGACGACACGATGCTTTGACCAGTGCTCATCATAAAACTGACGGTTATAGGAAAGGTTGGCTCCTGCTTGAACATCTCTGTGTGAATCCAAAGTGACATTTTTTGAAGTACCAGCATTCTAATGCTGTGAAAAGCAATGCTAAAGTTTCTGACTACTACTTCTCAAACCTCTGCCCAGCCTGGGAAAGTCTCCCACCTTGATTTAATTGCTCTCACTGACTTGTTGATAACAAATCTGCACCAAGGAAAAAATGGTACAGCTGTTTCACAAACACCACATTTCTTAATTTCCCCTTGCCTTCCTGACTCTTCTGAGTCATTCTGGGCCACCTCTGACACCTTTGTCTCTCAGGACCCAACCTGGCACCGGCATTCAGCTCCCCCTTTTCTGAATCTTCACCTCCAAGCTATAACCAAACTACTTTTTATTCCTGAAATCTTCAAGTTACAGCACCTCCTCCCAGCACTGGAGACAGCAGATGCCTTCTGGCACCACTAGGATGGACTGAAGCTCAGCGCTGGTCCAACGCTGCCACACACACTGATGCATTTAGCCGGTCACAGGGGCTGTGCCTTAGCGTAACCTCCAGCAAGTAACTTCCGTGCAACACAGCTACTGATTTGCCATGAGGCTTCAACAGCCATGCAGCTGCTGAAATCTGAATACTTTCTCTCATACTAACAAGTTTTGCTTGTTCTACTCCCTTATCAATTGCTGAATACACAACCTGTCACCTCTTGTCTTATGCGTTTATATTGCAACACTTTGGGAGATCATGATTTTCATCCGCACAATGCATAGCACAGTGGGATCCATTACAGACCTGAGGCAGTAGTAGAACATAAACAACAGCAATCTGAATCTGTAAAAATATCATGATACAAGCACAGTGGAATGTACACATGCACATCTACATATACACGTGTACACACACATTTATCTATTTCAATTAATAATGTTTTTCTTCAAAATTTGACATTTCATCCCCAAAAATGAAACAAACAAAAAAACCCCACTTGCATAATATGTCAAAGAAAAAAACCCAGAGCAATAAAGCATGAAGCTATTTTACAAAATAACTTAGGCTAACGAAGTGACCCAGGCCTTCACATAGAGGTTTTAAACTTTTCATAACTATAAAAATGTTTAGTTTAGTTTTAAAATTAAGGCTTCCTGGCATTGGAATTTTTTTTATAAAGGGTATTTCACAAAAGCAAACAAACTCCAAACTGACCCATCTTTCTCTTCTACATCTCTGCCACTGTAGTCAAAGAAGATGTCTGAATCTTCAGCCAAAGCTCGCTCAATTACACGTATTGTCCGGTCAAAAAATATCAGGAATTCTTCTGAATGGAGAACTTGCTGTTTTTCTTCTTCTGTCAGTTCTCTAGGAGGAGCTTGGAAAATGAAAATATGTAGTTAAGAGTATGACATTTCACCCCTTTCCCAATGAATCAACATCTTCAGTGGGTTTCTTTTGACATGAAAGCTTGCTGTAGCAATGTCAGGACAAAAATCAAAGCTTTACTCTTAAAATCATGACTAAGAATTTTTTAGTATATCTAAACATACTCCTGTATATTCCCAGAGTGTAGCATTTACATGGAAGAGATCCTATATCTTATATATTTATTATTCTGAAATGGAAAATGCTTAAAGTCCCCAAATTAAATAAACTCAGTGTTCCTATTTCAGGAAATGGCTCTGACTGACATTTAGGCAATACCTACCTCAAAAAAGCAGAACACTTATGTAACAGGGGACCTGTCAGAGCAGCCAAAGATAAAATAATCTTCTTAACTTATACTACAGTTCTTTGTGTTAAAAGGGCTCAAATAATCTCTCCCTTCACTTCTTCCCACTTCTCCTTGGTGTCACTGATAAATTGTCTCTGCTGTAGAGCTTTTGTGAAGCAATGAATAACCAAAGATATTCTCTGAGGCAGAAAAATTGAAAGCAACCAACCAAACACCAGTTTCTTTAAGGCAGTTTTATTCCTTGCAGAGGAATCCTAAGAGGCAGAGCAACAAATGCCACTGAGCCATGACCGAAGCTGCCCTGGGAGTGGGTAGGAGCCATCTTGGGCACTGGTCAGGATAGCCTGGCCCCCACAAGATTAAGTTGCTTCTTTACACCTATGCAGAGATGCTAAACCTTCACTTCCAAACCAGTATGTCCAGTATGGCCCTTCATTTGAAAAATATTGTCTTCACAGGATGCACCAATGCTATGTCTCTATCAGTTTAACAACCTGTTGGTAAATTCCAACTCAAATGTGAGTATCAGAGGGAAAGGAGATTGTAATGCTGCTATTGCTACAGTGCAAAGTTCTGTTCTCAATGACATTAGCAGGGTCATACTGATATTGTGGCAATGTTGTATATCAGTTATGCCTTTGTTCACTTGTGCTTTTAATTTTAGTTATATTTCAGAATTACTTGCATTTCAAAAAACTCCATTAGTATCTTCGGAGTGATACCAAACCAACCTTACAACTAGGTAAAATTCACAGCATGAGCAGCTCTGTTGACAGCACAGGAATCATGCTAACAGAGAATTTTGTTCCAAATTTATAATTAGGTACACAGACAACATATCATAAACAGATTTATTGCAAAATTACAGCGACTTGTACTTAAGACATTAACTGTCGATCAAAGGTCTCCTGCATTTGGCTTTAGACTACAGATTTGAGGTGTTTACTTGTGAAAAGGACCTTGCAGTCTCCCTAGGCCATACTGAGTTAAAACACCAGCAGCTAAAAAAGACAATTCAGCACGGTTCCTCAGAGAACACCCAGTATACATCGACATTGAACTCCAAGCCCTGTCATACGTATCTTAATGTTTAATTAAACGAGTGACACAGTTTAAAGTCACAGTTGGAAATTATTTTCCAGTTGCTGTGCCATGCCACACAGCTAGTTTCACCTATCAGGGAGATGTAGCCCTTGCTGGCCGCCTGATTTTCCCATGGTTCATGCCACATTCATGAACTCTGGTGCCCAAGTACAACGCCACCACCAGCCCCATGGGCAAGGACGGATTGAAAGGCACAACAGCAGGCAGGAGCAGTGACATGGTTGGCATTACCGCACTACTTGGCTCCCACAGTTTTCAGTGCCCCTGCTTTCAGAGCACGCCCTGTGGTTGGGAGAAGCTGTTACCACCACGCTTAGGTTTGCCTCAACTGGTCAAAGCATCAGCTCTGAAAGACAAAGTCTCTGCACCACACCTGGGCTAAAGGAAAAATGCAAAAAGTAGAGGAGCAATTTGGCCCTCAGGGGACAAAGCAGCTAAGAAGTTAGAAACTTTAGCCTTTGATGATCTCCTATAGCCTTGGCCCTATGCCTCCTACCACCAGGACAGTGGTCCCTGTGGAGCTCCACACATCCAGAGAATATCTTCGTCCCCCTGTGCAGTATGCCTGAGTGGCAGAGCAACAATTACCAAGGCAGGAGCACAATTTGCCTGTAAGTGCTTTAGACAGAAGCAATGCATGGGAAAAAAAAGAATGACTAATAAAAAGTACAGGTTGACCTATTGCAGCATCCACTGCTGAATAGGAATTGGCATGAAGGGAACTCATCTGGCAAGCAAGCCTGTAATGAGGCAATATCCCACTGTCACCACTAAAGCATTGCTTTCCGAGAATCAAAGACAACAAGCATGACAATGCAGCAAAATGGCATAAAAGGGGAGAAAATAACTGTAAAGGCAACTGGAAAACTCATTTTAAACTGCTCCAAATGGTAAAAATTATTTGCTAAATCAAATCCTCTCTACAGCTTGAAAATACAAATTTATTACTCGGACATTTGCAGACTATAACTGGCAAAGAAAATACAACCAAAAATCAATAGAAAGGGAAAAGGCAAAAAATAAACAGCTTGGGAGCTGTGGAGTGTTCACAAGCAATGGAGACACACATGATTGGAGTTCTACCTCAGCAAAATCTCCCTTGCAGTTAGCAATGATCCGTGGGAGGCCAGCAGTCTATTAAACCCTCTTCGGCATCAGAAACACCTTGGCTGAAGTTTGTAGGGCATAAATCAGCTTACCTCATTCATCTGACTGACACACCAGATGCCCCCTGGCGATATTAAGCTTCATATTTTAACCTTATTTTCTTCTTTCATTCGGCTGCCTCTGAAGTTTTATTTGAGGCGATCTCTTCTTACAAGAATGTTAACATCATTACTTTTTCCAGTGTAAAACATCGCTGTAACTACTGCAAATACATGAAGTATAAGCAGAAAAAACCAAAACAGACAGGCTTGTTCTTTCAAATATGAAGATTTTCTAACCATTTATCTTTCAGAGCCACTTCCATTTTTCCCCTTGTTCCTTCTCCCTGTCTGTCCATTACCTCAAATAAAATAAAAAGAATCTATGTAATCTTCTGCAATTTTTCTTCCTATCTGGGAGCTTACAGTTACTTTGATCTCAGCTTTCAAGAGACACAGGCTCTCTTCAAGGAAAAGCAGGAGAAACATAAAGTAACTGATCAAAGTATTTTTTGTTTTGTTTTGTCACAGAGACCTATGTGATGTGACAATATCTTCAGAATTTTCCTGTAAGAATACAGCATTTGCCTTCAAGTATCTGCTCTCCCTGGCATAAAAACCAAACAAACCACATCTAACCTTCCATGTCTAACAAAGCCTAGTGTGATGCTTAGCTTACCAGTGCTAAAAGTTACATGCTTATGACCTGGAGTGCAATGAAAGCTCCTGCAAAGGAAGACCCATACTTTGCTCTTGTTTCTGTACCATAACTTCACACAGCTTATGCTCTGCTTTTCACCTGGAGGAGCCAAACCCACCTGCAGCCCCGCAGAGCTCAGGGCAGGAGGACTCATGGTGCAGCCACTAAGTTCTACCTAACAGGGCCACTGGGCATCCTGTCTGGCCACGGACACACTGAAACATCGATGGGATCACGTACCACAAGCAGCGCGCTGTCTGGGTGGCTCTGGGGTTATGAGGTCAACAACATGTATCAAAGAAGCCCTGTACTCATGTTAATGTATAATAGTTTACAAAATAAAATGGAATTTACATTTAAAATTAAAACACTGGGCAGTTATATATGCACGGAGGACACCGCAGGGGAAGAAAATGTGAGGTATATGTGTAATGAAAGACACAGTACATTTGTGCATGCACAAAAAGGTCTAGAATATGCAACAGAAATTGAACGTGACATGAAAACATCTGATTTATTCAACAGTTACTTATGAAAAATAAGAGCATTTTACTATTTCATGTGATTTAACATTATCTTCAGAAATACTGTATTTCACATCAGGTCCTTTGCCCACAAATTTATTTGGACAAATTTAAAAAAATTATATGAAAACATTTCCTTGCATATTTAGGAACTAAGATAAAAAATGCTGCAGATTTGTTCTTATCTGGCAGAAGCAGGTTTGTAGTAAATATAATATAAATAGTTGTGATAACAGTGCAGGATCTAATTCACAAATATTTAAATACTAGGAAAAAAACTCAACAGAAAAAAGACCCACATTTCAATAGCTGTAATAGAATAAATGTTCTCCTGGAACCTCAGCAATTATAAAAACCTGACAAGAGAAATGAAGGCAAAAAAAAACAAAAAACAAACAAACAAAAAAAAAACCTAAAGGAGTAAATGACTGAAAGAAAGGGCAAACTAATAAAAACAGTAAAGCAGGAAGCAGCCTGGTTATGAGCCTGGAGAATATAACAAGAGACAGAAGGAGACTAGTAAAACCCTTTTAAGAGCTGTATTATTTATTTCTGTGTATGTTTAAACCCATGTAAACTTTAGATGTGCTGAGGCCCGAGGACAGTAGAAACATAAAGCATGAGAACTGCAAGGTGCTAAGCAGCTCTCAGCAGCTTTTACTCCTTGCCAGCCGATAGCCTGTGATCCTCTTTTCTTGTGTTTCTCACTTTCATGTCAGGCTGGATATATGCTATATCCTGGTTTGATATGTGCCATATCACAGTTTGATAATATGCCATATCTTGGTTGTGTTGGGTTTAAAACGCAAGCCCCTGCATGGCATAATTGCTGAACATATAAAAGGAGATTTTGAGGTACATTTAGGGATTTTTTTGGTTCCAGAGTAAATTGCAGCAGGGTTGTTGCCATTGATCATACTTCCCCAGGGGCCGTGCTGAACACCATCCCTGAGCACACCTGAGCTGGGCTGTCAGGAAGGGTTGGCACACCTGGGCTCGCTGTGCTGTCAGCGGCAGTGAAACCGTGGCATTACAAGCTACTGCACACCCAACCACAACCTGTCCTGCTTCTCCAATACCGATGCCTGAGCTATTGAGACCTAAACCATCTCCCCCACCGCAGCCTGCTGCGTGGACACCCAAGCCCCATGCACAGGGCCAGGACGAGAGTGGGGCACAGCAGGTCTTAGAAGCTGCAGATCCCAGCCTCCCCCATCACAGCCTTTCATGCAAGTTTCTGTGGACATATCCACAGCTTCAGATAAACGCAGGTTGAGGCCCACTTTCAAGACCCAGCCCGTCCTGCCGTTCATGTGGTTTCTACCGACACAAAGAGGCGCCTGAGGTGAAGCTCCAGAGCTCTCTGGTGCTGGAAAGCCCCAACCCACTTGATGCTACAGTTTGGGACCAGTCGCTCATTTATGTAGCCAGGAGAGGCTGGGAACAGACAGAGCCCAGCCCAGTTCACCAGCACGTATCCCACACTCAGCTCTTCCAAGAACAATGCAGGGACCATCACATGAGACACCGGAGACAACAGGCAGCCCTCTGGAAGAAACACTAGAGGGTCCCAAGGCTTCAATGCTTCAACGATGGCCAATAAGCCAGGCCCTCACCTCCCACTCCAGAAACACTTTGGGGGGCTCAAGCTGCTCCTCTGCCCTTAGCAGCTCTACGGCACTGACACTTCAGTACACAGATGAGGTGTTGAGCCAGACAGGCCACCCTATGGCAGGTGCACTGTGTGCCTCGCAGTGATGCTGAGACAGGCTCAGAACTAGGATCAGACCCTGCAAAGAATTGTGATCGCTGAATAATCCCACCAAACCCCGCAAAGTAACTCTAGGGTATGCGGGAGGAAGATGAGGAAATTAAGCATGCAATAAATGTCTGTAGAATTAAATTGGAGTACCTATAAACCACAGAGGAAAAAAAAAGGTCACATTTCCTCTTAAAATACCACTATAAAAATGGAGCACTCCTGTCCTGTTGGCTTGGGGAAAGGAAGACTGAACAAACTGGATCCAAGTTTTATTTTTCACTCTGACCTATTTTTGAGTTACATTAATGAAAAAAGTGTCTGCCTTTCTCTCCCCACACTTCTTTCCCCCATGTTTTTTTTCCTTACACTCCTATAACTCAAAAGAGGCCACACTGATTTTTTTTTTTAATCTGTTAAAAAATGTGCTCCCTGAGCTGAAACCAAATTTCAGCCCAGAGCAAATTTTTACGGCTGGGTTATAAATCCCTGAAAAACAGGATTCATAATGGAAGTGCTGACACAGCCTTAACTGCTATATAGCAGTGTGAATGGCGCCACTATAATATCTATTAGAGATTCTTTAAAAAGTTTGCAAAATATTGTCTTGCCTTGCAGAGAAAAAGAAGCCAGAGTACTTAATGCCAACATAAACATGCTTTTAACCCATCATGTGCTAATTTGCAGAAAAGCTATTAATTCTGAGTAGGCACACGGAGTGCGGCACTGACAGGAAATGTTCTTCTAAACTCCTGTTTGACTTGCAACATGGTTTTAATCACTTCCATGAAACACAAACGATGGCTTCAAACTCTGAATGTTGCTCAGAACATGAGAAGGGTTATTACAACAGAGACGAAAACAGGATTTTGTTGGTGAAAGGGCTAAAGCCAACAGGGAGAGACCGACACCAAATGCTAAAAATGGGATTCTGTTCCCTGTCAATTTGGGGACAACTGCTTTATTTGATTCACAGTGTTTAATGGCAGCCATCAGCATGACACTATTTTATCTGTCACAACACATACTGCAGGTCAAATTCACTTTCTATCAGGCAACGAGCATGTTTTCTTCTTTCTTGAACCCAGTCAAGTGTTAGCACCTCACAAAGCCAGTTCTGCTAAAACAAGCTGTGCCTTGCTTTTACAGCCTGCAGTTGTGCTAAACTAGCCCAGTTGATCTACCATTCCCAGTGGGTCTGCTAGGCAGGAAAGGGGAGCCCTGCCCCGAGACTAAAACACAACAAAGAAATAGAAGATGTTGGCAGTGGTGCTTGGTCAGTAAAGTACATAAAAGGTTAACTTGAAAGCTCACGAAGAAGTGAAATAAATCAGTTCAGGAATGTATTTAGATTTTTTTTTTTCTTTTCTTCATGCAATAGTTTGTGCCTTCTCCCCAGGTATAGGCGCTAGTGTTACTTTTATGTGGAAATAAATGTGGGTGGGATCAGCTGTAAGCTGAATAGCAGAGAGACACGCAGCAACTCAGGACAGTGCTTATGCACTGGGTGCAGTGGTATCGGTTTTTATGGCTTCCTGTTGTCATCAGTAAAAGAGATACCGTGTTAGGTCCAGTGACTGCTAGACCCCATATGTGAGTTGACCCCACAGTTTTGGAAGAAATGGTAATTTTCAGGAAAAAGTAAGTTTTTCTGTGTTGCCATGTTTCTTGCTCAGGTCTTCAGTTCTGCCTTTGCAATCTCTTGTGTGACTCCTGTTCGTGCTGTCACTGCTGCTCCCCTCCACTCCCAGCAGTGGTGGCTGGGGCAGTGGGAGAAGCAGAAGGATGAGGACCAGGAGGAGTGAGTACCCTCCCCCTCCCCGTGCTTCTACAAGGACCTAATGAGCAATGGACACTGCAGGATTTATGGCATGGGTGATTTCTATGATGCTGTTAAGAGGGTAGAAAGATCAACTTATAATCAAAACAGCATGGCTGGTACTGCAACTCAATTCAGTGTCTGAGGATAGTGAATTTTAGCACTATGCACCAGACTCAAGTGTTTTAGACAGTGATGTAAATCATGTCAGGCTCCTCTGGATGAGAAAGGAGCATCCACTGCTGCATTCTCAGTTAATAACTTCCCTCTTCTAATTACAAATGTCAGAATGGATCCAAGAGAAGCAAAGAAGAGACTCCCAGCATAACTACCATGCCTGGTGCTGACAGCACTACTTCAACACATGTTTCTTGTCTGCACCAGAAAGAAGTAGTAACCTGAATTTTTGTCTCTTATAACCCCTGAGAGTGTCTCAGTACAGAGAAATGGATAGAAGGACTGGACCTGCCTTCAGCTTTGACCTTAAGTTTTCTGGGGCCAGTTCCAACAAAAAATTTTGACTTTGACAGTCGACATTTTCAAGTGAAATCATTTTCTGCTGGAGGATTCCTGACCACCACTAGGTTTAAGTTTTCTCCTCTCAAGCAGGCTCCAAGGACCTCTGAAGACCAACTAACTTTATGGAGCCGCTGGAATGCTTGGCATTCGCGTTTTAAATCTTTCATGTAAGCAGGCTATTTGACTGAAAGGACAAGTAAGCACCAGTCCTGGAATCCAAGAATCTCTACTTTGTTCCCCAATTATAAGGACATGTTGCTTCTTCTAAACAGATGAAGTCTTGTGCCCTTCACAAGCTTCTGAGGCCTACCAGCTGGGTCACTGGGATACCATTTTTTTGCTTTTATGCCACTCATGTGGTTCTGAATCAATAAAACTAGTGACTGTTTTGATTTCACAGTGTTCTCAATAATAGAAACTACCTATGAGAATAACTACTTGCAGGACTCAGTCCTTTAAAGCTATAACAAAATCCGTTTCATTTTCAGACGTACCTTCTTTCACTTCCTGCTTCTGTTCTTGATTTTCCATCTCCAAGTCATCCTGTGCTTTTGGCTCCACCATCTCTTCATCATCTTCATCCTCTAAAACAAAAGAAGAAAAAGATTTGTGAGATTCTCCTCTCCAAGGGGGATGGAAATTGTGTACCTTGCTTACAATTACAAACTGGTAGTAAACACAGGTAAGGCAAAGTGCACAATAAATTGAAATGTCTACATTTATACTCAAGAGTGACACTCTCAGACATTTCCCCCCAGACTGCAAGATAATCTGCTAACATGGGGCACGTGCCACTTGTGCTCCCTGTGGCAACTTCCTATCTCAGATGTTGTCTGAATACCTCCCTGACCTCAGAGATGACTTCTTGGATGACATAGGAACAGATGCAAACATGTTTCAGCCTGGCAGCAATTCCACAGTTGGGACACCTGCTATCCAGACACCTCATTTCCAATTCAATGCTCACCAGATTAATTTGTCTTTTGACTTACAGGAAGGGGTTAAATAGAAATCTGACCTCAGGTCAGATGCCACTAGCAAGTAAACAGGCATGGTACAGTTCTGAAAAGTCATCACCATCAGCTGGGGGAAGACGGCAACCAAAAGTGGCATTTGGAGCTTAAGGACCATTCTTGCATTAATATGAATTTAATGAACACTAAAATTTGACACATGTCAGTTACTACTGCCAGATGTTTTAATGACCTTTCCTGACCTATGCAAATGCCTCTCTCCCTTCCCCTCTCTCCCCACATTCACATGTTCTCATTTTATTCAGGAAGGCAAACCATTCATTCCTTTCCTTGATGTCTGTCTGAAGTTGCAAGGGTTCTGATTGTCCAGACCAAAACGTAATACAGCAGAGCTGGAAAGATGGTGATGCACCAAAATGGCTCAAAGCCTACCTAACCCTCATTACTTCTTCCCAGCTGCAGCAACGTGATTCATTCTCCAGTGCCCAGGGCTGGCACCCAACACACTCACAGTCATGAGAAGGTAGGGACACTCAGCCTTCTGGATCTTGTGAACTACAAAGACTGAAAACAGACCTGGTCCTATAAGAGGGTGTTACAGTAATTAACAATTAGGATGAGCAAATCTGTGGGCTATGTAGGAATTATTTTGGAGTGATTCTAGAGCTCGATGCACCATCAAGGCACAGCAAGCACCACTGGTGCCCTGGGTCAGTCCATTGCATGACAGAACACATGTTGTCCCAGTCCTGGGTGTTCAGCCATCAGCAAAACTGCTGCAGTTCCTTCGGGGCTTTCTGAGCAATCTGCCTGTCACCACATGGTTTCTTGTGGCATGGCGCTTCTACAGGCACACTCCCTCCTCTCACACTGCCATGTTAACATAGCTGGGAAGTGGGCAGGTCTGTCATGCTTCTCCATCCGCTCAGCTACTGGCACCTCTTCCTGCAAAGGCTGGCTGCAATCAGCCCTGGCTTCTTGGGGAGATGTTGGTGCTGACAGGTTGCATACAGCCAATAGTAACATGAAGCTGTATTTTCTTTTCAATAACATAATAAGCACCATACTATTCCCACCACTTTGCCTACCCTAGGATTTCTCCTCTCAGAAGCCCACAGAGCAGGTTGCTAGCTGACATCTTGGCTGGAGAGCATGGCTTAGCCACATACTGTAAGGAAGTGTCTCAGCATAGACAGATATGCTTTTCCTCCTTGGAAAAAAGAGGAAATCTTGGCATAAGATCTGCCATTGCTCCCCCTACCACTAGTGACTGCAGCCAGAAGGGGAAAGCTTGGGTCCCCAGCTGTCACAGAGGAGGGATAAGCATATGCTTCCCAGGCTGGGAACGGAAGAAGAATCCAGCATGGATGGGAGGCATTTCCAGAGATAAAAGCACTACTAACAAATGCCACCCCTTTATCAGGGATTTTTCAGACCATGAGAGGAAACAGCCACTTGGAGCAGGGTAAAGGTAAGGTACTCATGATGCCTCCCTTTGATGCCTCACTGGGCAATTACATTTCCCTAGGTGCCCTATATAGAAGGGCTTTTAGAGAGTAAACCAGGGCATTTCTGTTTGGCACGGTAAACAATGCCCTGTCCACTGTGTGAAAGGTAGATAACATCCGATGCAGTCAGCAGAGAATCAGTGAGAAAAGCTCACCTGCTGTACACACACAGGAGGGGGAAAAAAATGTCCTTCTGCCATCAGCCTGTGGTGCTAGCGGAGATGGGGATGTATGAAAGAGAGAGGCACTCCCAGTTTCAAAGTATAGATGAGAAGTGTGAGAAGAGAGAGGAGTAACCAGCGCAGCAGGGAGCGAATACTCTGCTAACCTCGGGTACATATCACACAAAGGATCACAATGGTGTACGGATATACGCACACAGACACGCTTATGGTAGATACCTAATGAAGCCAACTCCCACAAGAGTTCTGCGAGTCTTGCATTACAAGTTTTCGTTCCCTAGAGCACCAACTCTTGGAGCCAGCTGTTTACACATGGATTTCAGCTTCCATTTTTAACCTGTTTCCAACCTGTCTGCTTGTGCAGGAAAGTTTCAAAAGGAGAATGGTTTCAGAAAATTCACAGGAAGCAAACCAAAAATAAAACAGTATTTAACTGAAAATCTTGGGATTTATAAAGCAGCATGCTATGCTTTTTAATACCTTACTTGTAATTTGGTAATAGGTAGGGATGATATAGCAAATGTAAAACTTGAGATTTAGTAGCAGGTTTTAAGACTGAAGGGAAGAAAATTTATCCCTGTCCCCTAGAAGTCCTTGATCCTCTGGATTTTGGGTGCCAAATTGTTTGCCTGCCTACTGTCTGGTCCTGCTTCTAAATCAGAGGAGGAAGGAATGGCTGAGGCACAGCTGGAGCAAGGGGGTGTGTATTGATACTTCAGCACCTATTAAGGTAGATCTTCTTTACTTCCCTTCTTTCCTCTTCTGGGAACAATCAGAACCAAGTTTCCTTAGATTTCTCTACATTTAATTGCAGCAGGAAAAACAAGTAGAGCTTATTATAACACATGCCATGTTTTTTTTCCAAGGGCACACACATCAATAAATTAGTTTTACTGGGAAGGCAGTGCAAGAGTTCTTAGCAGGTTAGACACAGTTCAGATGTCCTTATTTATTTACAGAGAAATGTATACACATACAAAGCGAAATTCAGCTAAAAGAAGGATATGGTTGTGAGCCAAATGCTAAAATGTTAGCAAATGCCAGAATTTGGATTGCCTGGGCACAATTAGCTCCTTCCCCCTCCCCATGTGTAGGCATGATGACATCATTCTGGAATTTCCTCCTTCTTGAGTGCTTGGCCTAATTTTCTGGGTGCTCAACAAGAGACACCTGGGGCCTGAAACACAGAAGTGTGGAGAGCTGAAGTCAACTGGGCCTGTGCTTTGAGTGGAGAAAGTGCTAGCGAAATGCTACACATGTGAAACCTCCCACATCTCTCACTTCTAGCTTTCACTAAAAGTTGTCATTCTGACATTTTTGCCCTTTCTCTACCCAGGCTTCAGTGCTTATGCATCATGGCAATAATATTGTGAAGATAATAGGAAGTTCACTTTGCACAGATAAAGGCAAGATGTTGTGTTGCAGAGATAAGTTCATCAGGATTTGGGGGATGTTAAGATGCTGTCATGGGACCACCAGAGAAACAAAAGCTTGAAAGGGGATTAATGTTTTCTTTGTTTAGCGTAACACTTGGACCATGTGCATTAACATGAGATCTGAGGCTAGAGCACTGAAGGGAGAAAGATAAAAACCAGAAGGGTCAAAAAACTGACTTCTCATTGACTGACTGAAACAAGAATCTGTGAAGGAAAAAAACCCTACATGTTATTGTGTAATTAAAACTCTATCATACATATTCAAAAGCGCTAATTAAGGATTCCCAGGAAATCTGCATTCTGGAATATCCAATGTTGCTTGACTTTGCTACCTGAATGTTTATTTGCCATATTTTTTTTTGATATTCTACACTATGGAATGCCAATGTATGCATACTTATACATGTTCACAGTACATAAATCTGATGTTGTGCGTAAGTATGGTTATGCATTTGTATATTTGTGCACGTACACATAGATTACAGAATAATGGTAAATGCTTTGTCATTCATTATCCTGTGTTTTACCTAAATGTGAAAAAGACAACATTTATTGTATATTTATTGGTGAATCTGTGAGCATCTATATGGTTATTTGTTTCCACACATGCCATGCCATCACCTTAATTGTCCAGGGAGATTAAGACAATTCTGTAGTTCTCTATTTAAGAGAATATCTGTGAATATTGGTGAAGTTCAGAGAAATAACTTCTTAACTGCTTACATAGCATTAGTAGGAGTCTTCAAGTCACATTGGGCAAACACAGCATTGCTACTAGCACCAGTAGTGTTACACCCTGTTCAGAAGATCTAAATCAGAACCCAAATGTCTATTAAAGGAACCACATGAAAAAGAGCTATTAATGAAGAAGGGTATAGCTGCTGAGCAACGCTTCGCCTTTGTAGATCTCAGAGGACTTTGTAAGAAGGCCAGAATTATTATGGCCATTTACCATGTAGAAACTGACAGACAGACCCACTCACTGTAGATCACTCAGTAGACCATCAGCTGAGTGAAGCATAGAGGGTTGACTTCAGAGTTTCACCCTAGAGTCCTGCCCACTGAGGCCACCCTGCTTTTTACTGTAAATAAACAATTCCTCAATGGAAATGATCGCTACATGCTTAGGTTAAAGATGTTTGTCTGCTGAAGCTGGTGGAGCCATATGTGGGATTAATGTAGACTGACATAGCTGAACAAAATAGCGTTTCCTCTTAATTCAGAGCTTGATGACTCTCCAGGCTCTAGGAGGTGGCCAATCAGTCCTAACAGTGCTTTGTTTAACACGATGAAGTAAAAGCAAAGCAATTGTTCTCAGCTTGTACTTAGCTTTGAACACTTCTGCTTCTGTTCCAGACCAGAAGTGGTCTTGTCTGTCTAAAAGCTTGCCTATTTCTTCCAACTATGGAAGTTGCTCTAATAAAAAAGTCTGACCTCTCCCTACAAACCTGGTTTTGTTTAATCTGTGTGTAAAGTACTAATTT